AATATATAGACCAGGGCCCCAATGCGTATTTCCCGACCCTAGCACGATTCAGTGTAGTGGACGAAGCTTGTACGGCTGAAATTAATTTTAAAAAACCTATGCGTACTCAGTGCCACTGCATTGAATCAACATAGGGTTCGTAATGTGTGAACATTTTATAATTGTGTATAGATGTATTGTATAATAATAATTATAATAAATATTAATTACACGAGTTAAACCAACACTAATGATAATTAAGTAGTAGTCTTAAGTTTTTTTAATAAAAAATGTAATAATATAAATGTGAGTATACCAATATTGTATTGTACAATTTATAAATAAATTACGTTATCTAAATAATATTATACATATAAAAGTGCTTAATGAATAATTCTTAATTTTAACTAATATAATTTAATAAACAAAAATGAATCAAATATTATAAGTAGTGTTAATGATATACATACCATGGTTCATAATTAAAAACGCCCATAAAATACATTACGTTTAAAAAATATTAAAACTAATTACATAAGTTTTATGTTTTGACCGTGCGATTTTGCATTCGGTTTGTTGGCTGCAATGTTTGACCCAATGTTTAATTTAATTTTTTTTGCATTGGCTTTCATTTCGATAGCTAATAGTCGACCAGTTTGAATTCGACGTGATCCTCTTGTTAAACCAGATCTTTCTTTTCTTCGAGAAATTGCTGTAGGCTGAACGTGAATACTTGTTATTAAACTTTTATCAAAACTTTTGATAGAAAAAGGGTTCATAGGAAAAAAATAAAAAATAAACATCATTGCAAAACCATAAGCTTCTTCGCTTATGAATCTAAAATATTATTTTTTCTTAATTTGATAGATTTGTATACGTTTTATTTTTTTATAATTTGATTTTTAATGATTTAAAGAGTTTTTAATGCATTTTTTGAGATTTCAAATACATTTTTTAAAAGTTTTTTCCTCAGAATACAATATTACTTAAATCTACAGTAAAATGATGGAAAATTTCAAATATATACTTATAATACAGATATAGTTGATATAAAAAACAGTAAAAATCAAGTATTATATTATTAATATGGTCATTTTTATGAATTTTATAAATATTATAACTTTAAATGCTTACAAAAAAAATTGTGCCTTTATATTTTAAATATTTTTAAATAACTGTAAGGCCAACTTATGTGAAATTTCGTATTCAATTTTCACGTATTTTGATTGTAAAATTGAATGAATAATTTTTTTTGTCAATATTTATAAAAAAAAAAAACTACAAAAACTAAATTTTTTAAATACCTATAATAGCTTAAAATAAACAAAATATTTTGAAAATTAAAGTGTCTAAAGAAAATTAAGTATTTTGTAAAAGTTTCAAATTTCTATGACTAGTACTTTTTTAACAATAACAAAAATCTAAAATTGCTTAGTACTAAATTGTTATGTTACGCGTGAATTTTTGATTTCATAAAAATTAAAATTTTAAACGCTCGTAATAATTATTTAATTGGTTCGGCTTTTTTTTATAATTATTGTAAACAAAACATATGGATAACTTTGTATTCAATTTTAAATTCTTAACTTTTAATACAAAATTTTTTTTAAATTTTTAACTACAAAATTATTAGCAATTATTTATGATTTTGACGAATTTTGTCAATATACCTTATTAATATTAATATTACCTTTATTTCACCGATAAAACAATCTTTTAACATTCGATCATTTTGAATACTACCTTTAGTGGTTTTTTTACAAGACGTGTAATGTTTACTGTAAATTTCGTTTACGAATACTAAATTCAGATGTGGATTTTTTTATTTTGTTGGCATGTGTACTTTTTTTTGTATACAAATCGTTTTGGATTTATATTCCCGCGTTCTACAATCCAGTTTGTACATGTAGCCTCGGAAAACATAATCATCCAATTTTTAACTTGCTGTTTCAATATCTGCATTAAATTTAGTTCGAACAACTTTATTAAAACTTTCTTCACTTTTAAAATCACAATTAATCACCAAACAACTAACGTAAAAATTAAAAAAACTATTTATAATTGACATATTTGTGAAAAAAAAATAAAATCTTATGTAGGTTTTTATCATATAATTATTATATACTACAATTTCAAAACACTAAATTCAGATTAAGAAAAGGCACACTGATCACTAACGCGTTAAGACTAGCGTTTAACGACGACCGTTAATCGGCAAGAACCGCAATATTCGTGATACATGTCAGCTAAACAGTCAAAACACCATTCTTCTTTTATCATATATTCATATTGAAGTTGGAAAATATTTGTTATAAATCGCTATATGGAATATCCGTGTGATTAGTTTTAAGAAAACCGATGTTCAATTAGAAAATGTTAAGACGACTTGTGTGATTACAACTTAAGTAATTTTTTTTAATATTTTTAAAAGTATTATATTTTATTGTTTTATTATTAATTATTTATTTTTACTAACTAACACACATTATATTAATTATTTATTATTATTATTAAAACTATTGAAACTAGGTACAATACAATACATCTATATACAATTGTAAAATGTTCACACATTACGAAACCTATGTTGGTTCAATGTGGAGACACTGAGTACGCATAGGTTTTGTAAAATTAATTTCAGTTATATAAGCTTCACCCACTGCACTGAGTTGTGCTTGGGTCGGGAAATACGCGGCCCCGACTAGGATTGTGCACATGGCCACTATATCAGTTAATTAAAAACATCTTGTGTCAGTGCGCTTATCTGTTTTCCTTCTTAGAGATTTTAAGACGATTATAATATATCGTCTGTAATAATTTATACGGCTGTGCTTGTACGAAAAGTAAAAAAGTACAAAAATTCAGAATTAAGATTAAAAAAAAAAAAAAAAAAAATGCTAAAATATGTATGATTGTTATAAATATGTTTTTAATAATTATTAACGCCTAATTTATCACCGAGCTTGATCAATCTAGCCTAATCAATTTTCCGCGGTCAACTGTCGTAGATCTTTCTACCCCACTATACTGCTATCGTTGATACAGTGGGATAGAACTCAACATCCTTGTATACGACCATGAGTCCACAATATCCCCTAACAATAATATGAATAATTTGAAGTATAATTTCTACGTGTTTTCCCGGCTCAGTTCACAGAGCCAGCTGGTCTGTAATCTCGGACAGAAATCTATTCTAACTTTTAAATACTGAGTAGACAGGTTACCTACCTACTAAAATGTTTTCCGTATCGAGAAAGAAACTTTAACAACATCACTGCAAGGGATTATAGAAATCGCTTCCAATTGTATCTTATATTTTTTATATGAAAATATAATTGACTTAGGTACTTTAGTTGGTGTAGTTTGTATATTTATACAAATCAAAAATGTTTAATATATTCTAAAGTGAATATACAATAATGTTAAATTACACGTTTGAAAATTAAATCACAATTTATTTTTAATATATTATATTGGTATGCTAATGGTAAATTCCAACATAGTTTTGGAAATGAGCCAACTCGTATAATACATGTAAATTTTGATAATATATATGTTTAGTGTATTTTAATAATATAGTTGTTGGAATGCACTTCGATATTATAGTTACTAGGATGAGGATACTATATTAATATTTCATTCAATATTTATTAGTCCATAAATGACAAAAAAATGCTAAAGAGGTAAATTCCTATTCAATTATAAGATGTACGTCTTATCATTTTTACCATATTACCGTTCCATTTTATATTATTGCGTTTAACAATTTTACGAGTAAACGTCAAATATTATTAAGTAATATTGTATTTATGTGACCACCCACTAATTCGTGAATACCTAATATATCTAATTATTTTTGTTTTGATGTACACACGGACAAAATTAAATAGATTGAATAGGTTGATAAGTTGTAGAATATAGGTAACCGTATGCAAGGTAAACAGTAGTATCAAATATACTGATCGCATTGTAAATATACTTACATACATATTACACACATATGATTTTTTTAGATTCGGAGCGTAGCAAGGGAGGGAGCGTTAATAAGAGGTTTATTATGAATAGTACTTTATAATATAAAAAAAAAAATAAGTTTAATGTAGTACTTTTTTTTAATAAGAATTTTAATATCAAATTTTAATAAAAATCGTAAATATTACAACCTTTCAAAACATGTATAACCGAACTTCGTACCAAATCGTTTTTCGTTAGCAATGATTTATCGTTGCTTACACATATAAATTAAGTAACTTTATGTATTCTACCTTCCCAACTTCCCACCTATAACAGTGGCACACCCGTGGTGAGTAGTATATGCCATTAATTTGTATTAATATAAGATATATTTGTATACAATATCCTGCAGTATACCATATTATACTTAATCAACAATATAGGTTTTGAGAAAACTAATATGTGACTATATATAACATAAAAAAAGTATTGGCAAAAAATGTAAAGAATACTTTACAGTAATAAATAAGGTTAAATTTCAATTTACTGTTCCTACTTACAACCCGTCACTAGTATCAACTTCTTTAAATTTAAAATGCTTCAACAGTCTTATAGAATTAGTTTAACGTTTTTTAGATTCTAATCACAGCTAGGAATGTATTGATTTTGCTGTGTGTACTATTTTTTTTTAATTTTTACTCTAACAAATTTTATACTTCAATATTACTTTTCCAAATTGCCATCTACAACAAAGGCACACCCATCAGCAGCATCGTCAGTAAATTGTTTTTTTCGTCCGGCTTTTAAAATCTAATTTCCGAAATATTTACCAAATCGGTAAATCGAGACAAAATCGAAAATTATAAATTGATAATTATTATTGGTATTTAAATTTCGAGCATAATAACACACTTAGCGAAAATACCCGTGTCAAATGTCAAGAATCAAGTGTCTAATCTTGGCAACTTAATAAATGCGTGTGTGAATATTTTATTCGATAAAATAAGATAAGATAATATATTCGATAAGATAATTTATTTATGTATAATATTATATGTTTAATCTGTCTGTACTAAATTTTAAAACATGTTAAAAAAAGATTAGTTATAAACAACAGTATAACAATCAAATAGTTTATGTTGTAATTATAGTAAGTACCCACTTCTTTACCGCGATTGACCATTGATTGATGTTTCCAATAACCTGAAACAGGTTCACAATACATCACAAATCTAATTGAATTATCAAATTATTTTTTTTGTCTCTATTGTTAAATAATTCTTAAGTTCGGCATCCTTAACGACCTTAACACCGTAGAACAATTATGTAACCACATTGGCATAATCTTCTTCTTTTCGTATCGGTCTTAAGCTTTATATTCCCTTTTCTTCCCAATAAGTAGTGGTTTGGGTCATTCATCATAGTGAGACTAATGCATATAGATGTCTTTGCTTATGAATCTAAAAGTAAATAATTAAATATTTAATTTAAAAAAGGTATTAGTAATAACAATACCAAACGATTTTACACATTTTTAAGATTCATTCTTAAAATATGTGATCGAATGTACTTTGACCAAAATACCAAAATACAAGTTGACCATTATGTATTTTTGTTTCTATCGACGAATCTATTTATACTTCTGGCCTTCTAGACCTATAGCTTGTAGGTACAAAATGTGCGTATATCTATGCCTACCTACCAAGCTATATGTGATATTTAAATTCAAACTATTCATTTGGTCCTTGCTATTGAAGTTCATAATATATAACAAAACATCTCAAGGATATTATTCTGTGATTTAGTGTTAAGTAGAACATAATATAATAATTGTATTAAGAATTTATGCCAACGGGTGTAATATAATATATATGCATTAGGACTAAAACCGTTTGGACTTTGTTTTCATTATGCGCCTCAAGCCTACTAGCCTACTAACCACACTTTGAAGTTTAAAACAAATTCGATACCTATTCGACCTTTGTAATTCCGGAGTATGTATAAAAATCTAGGTATATATTTCACGAAGTATGCAATTATTCTTATTGTATTACCACAGAAATTAATTTTTTACATTGTAAGGATAAAAAACCTTAAAGCGGTTGGAAGTAATTCGGTTTTTCATACATTTAGAATCTCGATCTTGTCTACATTTTAGACCAATATGTCGAGGTTAAACACTTCCACTAGTCCAATTTTTATTTTGAAATATGTGTTAATTGTATACAATTATTTTCTGTCCTGTATTTATCGGACAGATATTTTCATTTTTATTTGTTATTCTTTTTTTTTTTTTTGTGATTCTTTTAAATACAAGTATATTTTTAAAAAAAAACTCATCAATCATCATACATAGTAATATACTTAAATCTAATTAAAAAACGAACTAATGGTTGCTACTAAACATACACAATAAATCGGAGAATTCAAATATGTTTTCCAAATTAGAATAAGGTGAGTGTGATAGTGAGTAAACTTTTTCCAATTTTTTGGTCTGAACCGTTATATTAAAGTGTTAAGCCAACCATACCCCTTCCCCTTGAACATATATCTGACAGTATATCCTTAAAATAATATTCTATATAATATTAATTAGATGATGGTAATTATATTTAAAAATATTTATACATTATATTATGAACTCAAAAACATTTAATTTGGAAATAAAAACAAACATTTTACTATTTGATGTTTCATAGTATTATGTATTTATGCACCTACCTATAATTAAAAGTAAAACCAGACGTTTTATTAGGTAATTATTAATAAATATCCAGTTGTAAAAATATTTAATCTAAAAATGTATACATATAGATTTATAATGATATAACTAATATATAGTATATACTATGCGATAATAACAAAATACGATATTATTATAATAATATTAAACATAAAAAAATGTAGCAAAAAAAGTATTATCTTACACCATTAATCAACGATTCTAATCGACATGTCTAAGAATAATCTGTCTTATATTATGCAACTATTAATTATTATAGGTCACAAATTCTTCTATAGTACTCAGTATATTTATGTATATATATAAAGAAGAATTATATATTATGTATTAAGAATTTGCGAATTTGTTGTCTTTATATATGGATAACATTCCTTTTTTTAAACGATATATTAACAAGTATCGCCACTTTGTTCATTAATCATTACGTGTTAATAATAATTTATATGTTCCTTAACTATGCAATGTGCATTGTACACACATATGTATTATATATTATTATTTTTAAAAAATAACCGTGAGCAGCAAAGATCTGTCACTAGAATTCAATTTCCCGCCTAATATTTATTATAGATGGAAATATACTTTGTAAAACAATAAATAACCGAATACTGTAATAATTACAATACTAATATTCTATTCTACAACTTCTACAACTACACTATTTCAAGGAAAAAACAATTTTAAAAAATAGTTAAATTTAAGCATGGACATTTTAGGACTGGGGGTTAAAGTTGGAAACCCCCAAAGGGAACATCATTGATACTAACGTTATTATGTATATATATAATTTAATCCCATATAACTTCATTTGAGGAGTCTGCAGGGACGTTTAAAGCTAAGATAACATACTTTTTTCTCAACAAAACGATGAAATTCAACTCAAATTTATCACTTTATGTATCAAATAACTTTATAATTTTCTTTATTATAGTTATAATTTAAGCTCATTTTGTCCAAAGGGAGCTGTTTAGAGTATCATAAAGTAATGGGGTAAGGATAAATCTATAGTTATAGTATTGTAAATGCAAACATTTTTTTTTTTATTTGTCATCTTTTGACGTCGCAACGGAGAGATCGATTAATTGACGTTTTCTTTTTATATGAGTATAGTTACAGGACTAGAAAGCGACATAAATTATTTTTCATCACGACAAAATATCTCATTCCTATGGGAAACTTAAAAATGTATTACTATGCAATGATTTTATATACGTTTTTGAATTATAAAAGTCTACGTGGACGAAGTCGCGAGTAACAACTATAATAAATAATATACAGACACTATACAATACAATACTTAGTCTCTATTTTCGAGGAGATTCCGACAAAAAAATAGATATAACAATATAACTATAATAAAAAGAATATTTTAACTATTTCAAGATAATTTTTTTAGCGACATACCTTCATTAATCTTTAACGAATTTTTTTTAGTGGGTACATTGACGGTAGGTCGTTAAAATTACACCTATATAATACATTTTTTCGCGGTTTCTCGTAATTTCTATTCATCGCATTTGGCCCGTCTATTCTTCAGTGAATCTATTACTATACAGGTAAGGTACCCACTATTATACCTGTTGAATATGACACACTTGAACGTAAGGTTTGGCGCCACCGTATAAAAAAAATCTACGCTATAGAATTCAATAAACATTAATAATAATACAAAACAAATCAGGATATCAGATAAAAATTAATACACAACGAAAATACTAACCTATTACTCTGTTTTACCTTTTAGGTAAAACGATTATTTGTCCTCGTAGTAAAACCGGATCGAACGATTTCTGCAACACACTCATTTAATATCATAATACCTACCTTAGAGTCCTTTATTAAACACAAAAAACCCATACAAATTTAAACTTGCATAAAAATATATGACCACGTATTATCTATTTCATGCGGTCACGAAAATCACTATTATTTCTTTAATTTATTAGTAGGATGTCAAACGCGCATTTGTCACATTCTGTTCTTCTAATGGGCAATAGATTAAATAGTAAAAATGCGGAGTACTCCGTAGTCCACAATAGTCATAAAAACTTCATTTTGGTACTAAAATAAACACAAGAATTAGAATAAATTAAATATTTGTAGACTATTTAAGGTTGTGAGCAAAGCGAGGAATGTATTAGTTTTACAATGATATATATATATATTATTTTTTCCTGTGAATAACTTTTCTTCCAAACTGTTGCTCCAATTTTCAAGTCAAGCACTTTTCTGAAAGGAAATTTGACTGGAGTGGTACTTTAGAAAGCTCATTTTTTTATTTTCCCAGGAGTTTTTATATGCTAAATAAAAAAAACCGGGGAAAAACATAGGAAACGCAGGAATTTGTACAAAATGTATTATTTTCAAATCGTAAATATTACGGCCTTTCAAAACATGTGTACAACCAAACTCCTCTCAGAACCATTTTTCATCAGCAATGATTAATCTTTGTGTACAGATGTACATTAAATTTCCCCTCTACCTTTCTAATTTCTCACCTACAACAGTAACTCATCCATCGTGCGAATTGTTTTCTTCAAACTTATTTTGATTATATTTTAATTTTCTTTTGTTTTGTTTATTTTTTAAATTATGTAGGTTAAATTTGCAGATAATGCATGTTCAGATTTATCTTCGTAAAGAATTAAAAAAATAAAAACTTTTCTTTGTGCATTCAACAAAAAATGCTCGTGTTTATTTTGACAACGAAATCAAGTTTATACGACCGACGAGGTATAAGTACAATGGGAAATATAAAAACATATCTATACTGTACTGTCGACCGTTAAACAGAGATGGCAAATGTATACTCGTGGCGAACAATTTTGCGTATTCTAAACAATAATCAACGACCATGTAGTTTTATTGATGTCGTTGAACCATTTTATTGAAATATTTTAATTTACTTTTACATATACTCGAATAAAATTTTATACTTTTACTACATAGTTTTCTATACTAAAAAAAAAAAAAACAATAAATACAAATTATATAATCCGTTAAATCTGTGTGAAATCATAATCCATACAAAATAAAAAATCGCATTCGCATATTACCTACATTTTCATGATGAAATCGTGGATTATGTAACATATTAACTCGATACTATAATATAAACACGAAAAGTTGAGAAATAACGATCGAAAAGTTTATCGTATAGTATATGATAGTTGAATGTGTATTCTAATCACGCTATAAATGTCTAATATTTTTCTTTCATAACTTACAATTTTTTTCAAACGATTTTTTTCGTAGAAATGGTTTAAATCGAAAGGTACTACGCATTGTCCGTATTTTTCTAATTAAAAATAAAAACATAATAATATCGCTAAGATTATCTTATTTATACACTACAGGATGTACACAAATAAATATTTTGTAAAAGAGTTATTAGAATATATTATTATTGATAAATAGAAGAACCTATTATCTATTTTGTTCACGGATGTACAAGTCTATTTAATGCCCTGCAACACACAAAATGTTATGTATTTGTTTTTTTTTTTTTTACTGTAGCCGTCTCTTATATCACAATCTTTACTCGTCGAGAGGAAAGTCTCTATGTGTCGATTTAAATGTGTATATTTTTATAATATATTTTATGTATTTTCCATGGTAAAAGGTCGGCGGTCCCTGACGTCCCTGCTCAGGGAAGGGTCAGTAATTTGCACCGCTGCTGCGCAGGTGGTCGAAAGTAATTTGAACCAAAAATACTATTCGTATATCGACTATCGATGGTGAAAATGCTAAAAACCAATCGCGTGGTAATTATTTTCGAATACTATATTCATTGTTTTTGTACAAGAAGAACATTATCTAGAGAAACAAAAATACGTATTTACTAGTACAAAACACAACTTTTGTTTGTAATGCAAGTTCACTGCAACAATTTTGCGTAAAAACGGAATCGTCTCATTGTCCGGCGAATGTGTGTAGCTATTATATTTGTTTGTTTTTTTTTTATCATATATCGAGTTTAATTCGGAGTTCATATTCTGTTTGATTATATTATTTTCCAACTGATACTGTTCAGGATTTACTGTCGTTGTACATAATAATATATTATACTGCACGTACGACATCTATCAACAGAATAATCGATTTTAAAATGTTGGTAGAAAATTATATAAATCGTATTTTTTACGGTCTGCGGTGGAGCAAAACACTTTATTATTTATTATAATTTTTATCATCTTCATTTCGGTGCATATTAAATGTCTTCAAAAGCACTCATAAATAAAAATTTGAGGGAGAACACCGAATATCTCAATTTACATTAAAGAAATCAAAATTATTATTATTATAAATTGTTTTTTTTATGCAAATAATTATAAACCTTTATAAACTGCATTCGTAATATAATTCGGTATTAATTTATATGTTTATATTTAAATTGCATGATTGCACACTACTCTATTCCTCCAGTCTAAACTTTCAAGAGTTGTAACTCATAAACGGTAAATTTTATATTAGTGTTATGCATATGAACATTTCTAGAAAAATATTATCTATTCAAATATGTGTTCAAAAATGGGGTTTCTATTTGAAAAAAAAAAGTACATATACATTTATTCATGCGAATAATAATCTATGTGATGTATACGACGACGACGACGACTCTACTGTCTCGAGTTTAAACGGTATACATTTTATGGAGTTGCCCTTTTTCCCCAAAGGTATACTTTTCCTTTCTCTCTTCAATAACTTACCAACCAATTCCTATCTCCAATTGTTTGATTGCCTTTACCGTCAAAATCATACTCTTCATTTTTCCGCTAAATAAAATATGTATATAGGGTAAGCATTCGAGAAGTCGGATTTTCGAAATTCAACCCCCTCCCCTTAAAGTGTGGCTCACACAGGGCTTTTTTTTTTTTAACAAAAATAAAATTTTTTTGTTTGATTTGTCGGCAATAGATTGATGAAATGAAAAAAAAAAATATATTTATTTAATTTATTGTTTCCGTGGACAAGAAAGTTTGAACGACGGCGTTTACACCGCAATACACATGAGTTCTGCATGCGGAAAAAGTCGGGATAAACGCGTTACAATATAATCGGATTTCTTCCGTCGATTTCGGTTTTTGAATAGATTTTCGGTTTTTATTAAAACCCGCTTTTAAAAATGGTCGAAAACGAAAAAAAAATAAATAGAGAATCGCAAATCGGCACGGACAGGACAACTATATTACGCACGTATAATAACATAACACTCGTATACAACAGTGCCCGATAATAAATTATAATCTTCTCGTACAGCGCGATTATCGTTTTTCATTTTTCGAATCCCCCGAGCCTCTTCGCCCCGAGCTTCTTCGCCCCGAGCCTGTTCGCCCCGAGCCGACGGAGCGCGGAGACGTCTGCCGGGCGGGGTGGGGTGGGGGGAGGGGTGCGGGTTGGTGCAACAAATTCGTTGTTTACTACCAAATGGCAAATGCATCGCGCGTGGGTGTGGACGTGTGTATCGTGTATACCTACAGATATTATAAAAACGTCTATCGGCACGCGCGTATGTGTGCGTATACGCGTATTCAGCGTGTACTATACATATTATTATTATTATATTGTATTGTGGTCCCCATCATCGCGGCCGTCACCGCGCGTATAGGTACCTTTTTTTTTTTTTTTTC